GGGAGAGGATGAAAGACCAGTCTCACTGCTTGGATAGAGCTCCCAGCTAGTACTAGCACAGACATGCGGGAGAGAGGAACAGTGTTAGGCCTTATGGATGAAATAAAACCAGAGATTGCTCAGAGAGAGGTGATCAGCCTGAGATCTCTCTGTTGTCTCTGTGTTGTGTCTGATATCAGCTGCTTCAGCTGCTTAGCAAATGTTGTGTGACTGTCAAGGAAGCAGTGCTACCTTATGAGCTTCTAGGTCTTGGGTATCTTTTGAGCTATTATCCTCCAGGCTGGTGCCTTGGTAGCTGTCTCTCTGTTCTGTTGGAAACATGTTTATTTGGAAAAGCCATCATGTATATTCCAGAAAGTTCTAGTCCCACTGTCTTTCTATAGCTGTCATGCTGAAAGTTAGCCCTTCATTGTATCTTGGAGCATATCTTTGAACCACCAAGACTTGTCATGTAGAAGGGGGCTTAGCTTTCTTTTTAAAAAAGAACTCCTATCCAACGAGTTCACATGAGTCCTCTTGGCACAGGGTGACAATTTAAAAATTCAGCCTTATCACATCACATTCTATTATTTGGTTAAAATATGTCACATCTGTCAATCCCATCTGTAATTGAGGCACACATTGCTAGCAACATCTGTACCGTTAGCTGTGATAAAGCGCATGTTCAGGACTCATTTGCAAAAGTCTGCAGTGGCTATTTATTTACTGCCTAGCAGTGGTCTCCAGAACCCTTGACCACACTTGCCCATCAGTGAAACAGTCTTGAGCATACCCCTCCATTGTGTGCAAACATGTATGTGAAATACTAGCATCTTAATTTCTTACTCTTTGAAGAAGAAAATGTAAGTAGACATTCTGTTTTTTTCCTACAACCCACTAGTTCATCCTGAGCAAACACAAGCCCACGAGTCCAATTCCTTGAGGCTCTCTGGTGCTGTTGAGATGAGGGACATTTATAAATCTGGAAATCGGCTCCCCATCCTACTTCAGAAGTAACCTTTGCTGAGCAGATAGGCTTTTGAAAGAATGATACATTCTTATCCTCATCATCTTTCTGTTGCTTCAGAGGCCCTGGGCTAATGTCTTTCTCCACTCTCTCCCCCTGCAGGTTCTGCATGAATATGTCTGTACATTTTGCTCCTGGCTATCATTGAGGATTTAGCTTGAAATAACTGGAAATTATCCCAAGTTCACAATAATAAATTAACTAAAATCGAAGGGGTGCTTGAAATTATCTTTGCAAACATGAGGTGTTTGTGATAGCATTTACACTGTTAAGAAATACGTAAAGATATAAAGCACATTCCTTCACCACCTCCACCCAATTTTATTCCCCAAGGCAGAAAATAAGATTTTTTTAAAATATAGACTGGAGGTGTGGCTCAGGCTGTAGAGCACCTGTACCCAGAGGTCAAACCCTAGTCCCACCAAAAAAAAAAAAAAAAGAAAAAAGTTATGTACTGTTTGATAGAGCCTAAGGATGGAAATTACAGACGTTTTTAAACAGTAAAAAATTTTAGTAGCCAATGAGATATTTTAAAATAACCAAAGAGCTCATGAAATTATAATGACAAACCTTTTTGCAGACTGTAAACAAAAATAATGCAGTATGCTGGGCACTGGTGGCTCAGGCCTATACTCCTAGGTACTCAGGAGGATCATGGTTCAAAGCCAGTTCAGGTAAATAGTTCACAAGACCCTATCTCAAAAACACCCATCCCAAGAAAAGGACTGGCAAAAGGGCTCAAGTGGTAGAGTGTCTGCCTAGCAAGTGTGAGGCCCTGAGTTCAAACTCTAGTACCACCAAAAAAAAAAAAAAAAAAAAAAGTGCAGTAACACCTTAACTGCCTGGAATCCTGGAACAGTTAACATAATTTCCAAGTAGTTGAGATTTGCTTGCCTTCTAGAAATTTTTTTGCCTTCTAGAACGTATATGGAAAAAAAGTTTTATTATGCTCTTCCTTCTTAGTCAAAGTAGATTTGTTTTAATGGCTTGTTTTTATTCTGAATATCAGTTGTGCTGTGTTTTAAAAACAGATGTTTTCAAGGCCGATAAGTCTTACTCAGTTTCTCCAACATCCTTGTGAGTTTCCATTCCCAAGTACAAAGTACATTTTATTACTGGCTTTGTGCTCTGCCTTTGGGTAGCTGCATGGACTTGGATGAACTGTTTTGACTCTTACCGTCTGTTTCCTCATCTCAGATGGGACTTACAGTACAAGCTTCATGCTGTTTTTGCAGACTCAGTGGGGAAATATTCTTAAAGGACCTTTTTACCCACTCCTTAGAAGCCAAGCCAGGAATGGGTTCTGAATGAGGTTCATGTGTGACTCCTAGGGTAATTGTGGCCTTCTTAGTTCTCTGTAGTGCTAAGAAAGTGAGACTGCAGAGACAAAGTCCAAATAGTTTTATTGCTCTGGCAATAAATAGGAACTCACTTAAGGCATGCTGGCAAAACTGGAATGTGGACTCAGGTGTAGAATTGATGAGGATCAAAGGCAAGCAAGGGAGTAATTCAGAAAAATGGCCCTTTTTGTGAAAAGGGCTGGATATTTGAATAGTAATGGCCCTGCAAATTGTAACAACGATTTCTCAATTCAAATGTTCGAATAGTCACTGAGTATGCAGAGTGTTTAGGACCAAATGTTTGTTCGCAGGGTCTTATAAGTGTCCTTTAGGCGGTATGGAACTAACCCCTTCACCCTGTTGCGTATCTCTGCATTCAGTATAGCAAATAGGGAAACAGTTCCTTCCCACAAATGGGTCATGATATTGAGGTAGCAGTGTCTGTATACCTGCTGTGTCTAAGGCCAGTGCTGGGTGTTAAGGGATCCAGTGAATAAGAAAACATAATCACACAGCCCTTGCCTTCACAGCATCCAGCTGGGGCCGTAGGACTATTGAGCGGGGTCACTAGCTGTTCAAAGCAATAGGAGATGCTACGTGACTGGGTTAGAGTAGAGTGTCTTATCTAACTGGGAAGTAAGGAAAGGCCTCGTAGATTGCACCTGATCAGGAAGTTGACAGTAGGGTGGTAAAGTATGAGAGCAGCCAGGAGAACTGTGGGCCCAACAGAAGCACACTGCTGAAGAAGCACAGGACAGCCCAACTACTCAGGAACACCTGCTGGTGCGGGAGGGTGGCTCTCAAGACCCCTTGCTCCTAAAGAATATAGGACCCCAAAAAAACTAATGTTTGTGTGAATTTAGCTACAATATTGACAACATCTGAAATTAAACCAGAGGAAAAAATTTAACACATATATATTAATTCATTTAAAATAATAAACCTATTACATGCTGATAGAAGTTAACTTTTTTTTAAGAAAGCAGACACTTTCTAAAACAAAGACAACTTTTGTGAGAAGAGTGACTTGTTTTATATTTTTGGAAATCTCTGTAATACCTGGCTTAGTAGATGATAGTTGGGTCTCCTATCTTGCTTCTGTATTCAGCTTATGGCCCTATGTTGCTATGATTGAGTGTAAGAAGATGTGGGTGGGAAAGAGAAGATTTTTTGATTGTTTTGTTTTTTGTTTTCTTGAGGTACAAGGGTTTGAACTCAAGGCCGCATGCTTGGTAGGCAGGAACTCTACCACTTGAGCCCCTCTATCAGCACAAGAGAAGAGTATTTTTATGGCCTTTCCAGAGAGTTGTGGGTATTTTCTCTGATGTTATACCAAAACTTAAGTGGGTAGCTTCTTGGGCTGGCAGAATGGCTCAAGTGGTAGGAGTGCCTGGCTAGCAAGTGTGAGACTTGGGGTTCAAACCCCAGTACTTCAATAAATAAATAAAACAAGTGGATAGCTTCTTAAAGGAATCTGGTATGGGGAATCTGAAACTGTATGAAGGAGCTGCCTGCACATTTTGTTCCATTAAAATCTAGTGGTCTACCCTACACTTTGAATGACTCTTTTACCCTTGAATGATATTATAACACCATTTATTAATCAGTTGGGAAATACTGGTTCCCTGAATGGTGTGAATCCTCTGAGGCATTTGACCAGTCTTTGTTACATTTCAGTAATCACTGATCTCATCTGCAGCCCAGGGAAGTTGGCAGACTTGCCCTGGCACCCAGAAGTTTTCCACATTTCCCAGAGTATGGGACAATCATATGGATCTTTGCTTAAATCCACCTTCATCACTTGCTAGTCCTACAGTGATCCTATAAACTTGTTTTGTTTTGTTTTTTATCTCCATTGTCTTACTGTAAAAATTAAATGCAAAAATATCAATAATGTATGAAGTTTTCAGTCTGAAATCCAGCCCAGGTAAGCACTCTTTATGTTATTATTTCAGCTTCTGTTAGTGTCATGAGTAGTGTCACTCATCACATGTGGCATGTGCTGACTGTAGACTAGAGTGAGGAATGGAATGGACTTTAAGGAGCACTTGGGTGATTGCTTTCATCGGAAATCTGTAACCAAGTTTGTTTCAGTGATGTTTGTACTGATGCCTGTTGTTCTATTTCTCAGCCAGTGTGGGCAGCCCCTGCACCCTCCCTTGTGGCAGTTTAGAGCCAGTGGAGAAATAAGAGGAAGCACCCTTTCCCTCTGATCCCTTTCCTTGCTATACCTACATTCTACAGTCCTTGCCTTGTGTAAATGTATCCACACCCTCTCCCAGACTGGTGCCTTATTGTTTACCTCTTGTTCTTACTGTTTGCCTAGCACAGTGACTAGCATGTGAGCTGTGGTATTTGTTAAGTGAATGCATTCAGAAGGGATTTATTTTAAACATTACTTTCAGTGTGGTTTGAAACAGTGAAAAAACATACTTTGTCATACCAAACCTGTGATCTGAGTGACCAGCTGATTGTGGTTTTTTTTCTTTCCATTTGTTTAAGGAATGTTTAACCTCTGCTTGCCCCTAACTCATCTCTTTTGTCTTGAACCTCTATTAGTTCAAAATAAAAATAGAAGAACACTGAAAAGTATTTTATGGTCCCTCTGGGTTAAGCATGCTTGCGATCAATATGCTTTGCTTTCTGCTTTTCAGATGTTCCTCCTGCAGATCAAGAGAAGCTTTTTATCCAGAAGTTACGTCAGTGTTGTGTCCTCTTTGACTTTGTTTCTGACCCACTGAGTGACTTGAAGTGGAAGGAAGTAAAGCGAGCTGCTTTAAGTGAAATGGTGGAATATATCACCCATAATCGGAACGTGATCACAGAGCCCATTTACCCAGAAGTAGTCCATATGGTAAGTGACTGCAGCTGAGCTGCAGCAGGACTGGGATGTTTTTAGGAACACTAGGACATCTAGCCCACCATGACACCACCCAGGAAATACCTCCTCTTCCTCCAAGATTTGTGCTTGCATCAGAAGAATGGATGTAGCATTTGTAGGATTAGAGTGATAATAATAGAGCAATCAGTTGCCTTCTAGGGATTTAATATAAGTGCTTTACATTCATTAACTCATTTAATCCACACAACTACCATGTGATAGAAATGTTAGAACTTTTATTTGTATTTATCGCTATATCCTCTTTAAAAATTTTTGTTTGGGTTGTTTAAACATATATAGCATTAATATAGTAGTGCTCTTACATAGTTTAGAAGTAGACATGTTATCCATACATGTGTAGGAAAATTCTAATGAGGTGGTAGAGTTCAAATGTTGATGAAGCCAGGCAGTGGCGGCTCACCCCTTGTAATCCTAGTTACTTGGGAGGCTAAAATCAGGAGGATCATGGTTTAAGGCCTAGGCAAAAAAAAGTTTACCAGATCCCATCTCAACCAGTTGGGAAGTTCTGGAAATTTCAGGAGATGGGGCTTAGTTGGAGGAAGTAAGTCACCGGGGTTTGTCTTTAAAGGTTATGCCAGGTCTCCAATCTGTTTCCCTCTCTCCCTCTGCTTCCTATCCATCATGATGTAAACTGCTTCAGCGTACCTTCCTTTCCGTGATGGACTAAACTCTCTGAAATCATGAGCCCAAATCTGTCTTTGTTCCCAATCTTTTTTGGCAGGTATTTGGTGACAGTGAGGAAAAAAGTAACTAATGCAGAAAATTAGTACAGAGAGTAAGTTCATTGCTGTGACTAAACCTGACCACGTGGTTATTAAGCCTTTTGAATTGGTTTGTGGGAGGAATTTGGAAGAGTTTGGAGAAGCAGACTACAGAAAGGCTAGGATGCTGTAAGCAGTTTAGTGGGCAATTCTGTTGGGAGCTCAGAAAACCAGAATGCTCATAAGAAAATTTAAAAGACTGTGCTCATGCAGTTTCAGATGGGAACAAGGACTATCGAGAATTGGACTAGAGATCATGCCTTTAGTAGGCAAAAGAATTTGCCTACATTTTGTCCATGTCCTGAGAATTTGTGGGAGGTTAAGTTTAAAGGTGATGGACTAACATTATGGCAGAGGAATTTTTAAGGCATTCTGCATTTGAGCTGTGGCATGGCTATTACTATCTGCTTTTAGGCAAGTTTGCAGTGAGACTTGGGAGCAAAAAGCAGAATAGAAAGATTTGGAGAACTTGTAATGTGGTCAGGAAAGCTTATATAAAGTTGGGACTGAGGAAGGTATGGTTGCTAATGAGATTTCTGCCATTAAAAAGAAGCCAAGGACTGGGGGGTGAGGCTTAAGTGGTAGAGCGCTTAGACGTGAGGCCCTGAGTCCAAACCTCAGTACCACAAAAAAAGAAGAAGAAGCCAAGTACTATGCATCAGGACAATAGAAAAATGCTTTGAGAGTATCTCGGGAATCAGCCAGATCCCACCCAACCTGAGGGTATAAAAGAATAAACTCTTTTGAAAGACTTTCCCTTGAGAAGAAAGTGCCTTAGGGCCAGGATTCATGTCACTGTTCTCAGGCCAAGGCATTCAGAGGCTACTGCAGCCATAGTCTAAGGGTGCTAGGCTGCTGCTCAAGCTGACTGCAGACCTTGGCATTCTCCCCTCAATGCTGGTTTTGCAGACATGCAGAATGCAAGAGTTACAGGAATGTGGAGGCTTCATGGATTTCAAAGGAAAGTCTGAAGGCAGGCAGTGTGTAACAGGGACTAAGTCACTGCAGGGATAATTAAGGAAGCTGTGAGGGTGATGCCCTAAGCTGCAGTGGAGATCCCAGGATGTTGGAGATACCAGGAAGGTGGAATGTCTGTTAAGGAAAGTCACATCCCTGGGGGGCATGGTGGCTCACACAGGAGTACATTGGTTTGAGTCCAGCCCTGGCAGAAAGTTAGTGAGACCCCCATTTCAATCAGTAGCTAGGCATGGCCCTGCCTGTCATCTCAGCTAAGCAGCATAAATAGGAGGATTGTAGTACAGGCTGGCCTGGGCAAAAAGCAAGACCCTATTCCAAAAAAAAAAAACAACCAAAAGGGCTGGAAGTGTGGTTCAAGTGAAAGACCACTTGAGTTCAAAACCTGGTACCACCAAAAAATAAAAATAAAAAGCCATGTTCCAAGAAAGACGATTTATGGGCTACAGACAGCAAAACCATAAGAAAGTGGGGCTGTACAAGCCCTTTGTAGCTCAAATCCCAGCACCCTGTGCCCTGGATGCCATACCTAGATCTGCAGAATTTGATGTTTGCCCTGCTGGCTTTCATTCTCACTTTGGTACCATTCCTCCTTTCTGAGCCCCATTCTTCCCTTTTGGAATAGGAGTGTTTACTCTCCCATTGTGTGTTGGAAGTATTTAACTTTCTCTGGTTCTTCAGGGATTCACAGCTAAGAGTTTGATTTTCAGAAAGACTTTGCAACTGGACTTTTGAACAGTATTGGAACTGTTAATACTTTGGGGACTCTTAGAGATGGACTAAGTGCATTTTGAATTATGAGATGGTCGTGAGCCTTTGGCAGCTAGGGATAAATGTGAAATGTCCCCCACAAGTAATGTCTAAAACTCATGGTGCCCAGATGGTGGTACTTTTTGTGGCAGTTGTAGAAATTTTGGAAGGTGGGGTTTAGCTGGAGAAAGTAGGTCACTGGAGGTGGTCTTTGAAGGTTATGCCAGGCCCCTAGTCTGCACCTCTCTCTCTGCTATCTGTCCACCATGATGGGAGCTGCTTCACCCTGCTTTGTCTGCTATGATGGACTGAACCCTCTGAAAGCATGAGCCCAAATCAATCTTTCTTCCCTTAAGTTGCTTTTGTCAGGTATTTGGTTACAATGATGGGGAAAGTAACTAATACAGTATGTTTGCTTTGGGAAAAGAAGATGAAAGGAATGTTGTAGTTCAGTATTCTGTGTCAGAAGTTGTGATCAACTGATTATTTTAAGTTATTATTAACTCTTAAAGTTCAGAGAAAACTTTAAGTGTGGCTGCTGTGTCGTCAGCCCAAGGGCTACAAGTATGTATGGGCCCCTCTGAAGACTAACATCTGAAGACTCTTTTTTTTTTTTTTTTTGGTGAGGGAGTACTGAGGTTTGAACTCAGGGCCTTGAGCTTGCTAGGCAGGCACTCTCTCAAGTGAGAAATAGTGTCACAAACAGATTGCTGCCCTCCTCATATTTTCACTTCCATGTGGGAGATAAGCATGAAATAAGCAGCCAACACTATCATTTTAGATTATGTCAGTACTGTGAAGAGAAGTAACTCAGTATAAGTACTTAGAGTTGCAAGGCTAAGGTGCAATTTCTGTCCCCTGTCCATGTAGGCAAGAAGGAGGTTTAGAGAGTTTTTCAGGCTGTTCAGACTCTTGTGCAGACGCACACCATGAGGCAGTTTTCTGTAGCCTCCTTCACCTTCTCTCTTTTCTGCTCTGATGTTAGGTAAGTTCCAAACAGCCTTTCTCTGACCCATTGTTTGTGTGGAGTTTTGGGGGTAGAATGGGTAGCAGGAAGAGAGAGGCATTTTTTTTCTTTTGTTTGTTACTGTTGTTTTGTTTTGTGGACAGACAGCACTGATGAAAAGTACAATGAGCTGGGGGTGTGACCCTCTCAGACAAGGACAGAGAGCACAGAATTCAGCCCTCTACCCCAGCAGGGCCTGATCCCATGTGCAGGTGGAAAAGGCCTGACCTCTTCAAGGTCCATTCTAGTGAGAAGCTCTGCAGTCTTCACCACTGATGACTGTTCACTTATGCAGCACTTGACCAGAGCTTGAAGTATTGCCTGATGTTCTTTCTTTCTGCTTGGTCATAGTATCTTTAAAGACATTACTTTCCACTTACTCTGAAGAATCCAAAGCTCTTTAGGGCTTATAGTCCTAATGTTACCTCTTGTAAATGTATTGCCTATTAGGCTAGAATGTTATATGGCTTTTATACAGATTTATTAAGATATTATTCACAGATCTTACTATTCATACCCCTCCCCACCTTAAAATGGGTAATGCAGTAGTTTTTAATACAAATGTAAGATTGTGAAGGCCAGGCATGGTGGTACATGTCTGTAATCGCAGCTACCCAGGAGGCAGAGGTAGGAGGATCACAGTCTGAGACTGGCCTCCAACAAAAGCATGAGATACTATCTGAAAAATAAACTAAAGCAAACAGGGCTGGGGGTGTGACTCTTGTGGTAGAGAACTTGCCTAGCAAGTATGGGGCTCTGAGTTCAAACCCCATTACTGCCAAAAAGATTGTGCCACCATCATCATAATGAACTTAGAACACTTTTATCTCTCGAAGGAGATCTCATGCTCAGTAGTAATCACTGCTTTGCCTCCTGCTCCCTCACTGCCTCTACCACTCCCAGCCCTAAGCACCCGCTGAATCTTTCTGTCTCTGCAGGCTGTCTGCTCAGGACATTTCATGTAAATGGGATCCTACAATAGGTGGCATTTTGTTACAGGCTTCTTTCAGTCAGCATAATGTTTTCACAGTCAATTCATTTAGTAGCAGTAGCATGTGTCAGTATTTCATTTCTTTTGCCAAACAACTTTTTTGCCATATAATATTCCATTACACAGATACACCACATTTTATTTATCCATTCATCCATTGGTAGGCATTGGATAATTTCTGGGTTTTAACTTTGTGGATAATGCTGCTTTTGAATACTGCTGCTGTGAACATTCATGTACAAGCTTTTGTGTGAACATGTGTTTCCATTTCTCTTGGGTGGAATTGTGGGGCCATGTGTAGCTCTGAGTGTTTGACAGTCTGAAAAACTGCAGGCTGCTTTCAGAATGGCCGCACCATTTCACATTGTGGTCAGCAGCATCAGGGCCCCAGTTTCTCCGTGACTCCAGCACTTGTTTTCTGTCTTTTTGGTTCTAGCCATTCTTGTGGGTGTGAAAAGGCATGTCACTG